TGCAACTTCTTTGCAACCCTTCCAGGATTTAAAGTCACTAAACTTCCTTTCTAGAAATCTCTTGGTTTCATATGTTTAGTTCCACTTCAATGATTGCGATCGAACGATCACTATCGACTGCAAAACATTCAAATTACGAAGAAAATAGAGGAATTGGACCAGTGCTTGTTATCGTGCAGGTAGAAGACAATTATCTATAAGTTATGAAATCTTCTCAGTCCTCACGAGTAGTATTTCAGATTTTAATCGTCGCTTGTCTCATTTATATACTCTACTACAATATAGTTTTTTCGGATAACATTATTTATTACTGCTTGGCCACAACTGCGGGGTCTCTTTGGTCCACGTATGTGTCATTCTCTTTCCTCGCAGTTGTACAAGTAGTGGCTGTCATTGTCTTACACCTACTAAAGGCGGTTAATAGGGTAAGTTTTGAGCAGGCCATATATCTTAAAAGCTGTAAACAATAAAAACAATCAGTGAAATTGAGTGTTCAGAAAAATGCCGTCAAGCTGCGCGAGAATCCAAATCTTGGAGCACGCTATAATGTCGAGGAAAATCTGAGGTATACAATATATTGGGAAATTTTTTGTCTCACAAGACTTTCAAAGTTAGAAGAGCCATAAAGTCAGAAGGTTCATCAAAGAAGAAAATAACTTACTGTTAGCTAGATATATCAAAGCATCATCATATTCGCACATTGCTAGAACGTTCGGAAAGTCCAATCTTGCTGTTCAGTAGAAGATTTTTTGATTTAGCGCTATAGGTTGAAGTCTACTAAAAAGAGTTATGAAAGAATCCTACTACAGCACGCAAGAATACTGGCGAAATATTAAACTGCCGTAAAAGTTGTCTATATTTGCAGTTGTTTTGAAATTGACTCGTTTAGAAGTCAAAAATGGTTTTGTCATTTCTGATCCATACCAGCTAGGTTGCAAAGTATCCATAATTCTATGCTTAAATTAAATTTTTAGGACTATAACTATCGTCTTTCCATTTTGCGTGATGACATGCCTGTTCACAAGTACCTTCTTCGTCGTTTTGGTCTGCGTTGTTGCTTTCAATCGTACACTGGACCCTCCAATGCTCTTCACTCTCATCGATGGCTAGTCTTGCATTTCTATAAAAGCTATGCCGTAGAGTATCGAAACCCATTATTGCATGATGTTCATGTATTCATGCTTACGATAGCTTTGACAATCATTTAATGATAGACATCTGGATTTAGATTTTACTATGTTTTGCAGCCAAAATCGTACATTGCTTCGGAATTGGAAAAATTAAAACAGTAATAATCCTAGTCAACATAAAATACTGATAATAATTATATTTTTCCCCTAGGTTCTGTTTATTTTTTTATACAACTTCTTCTTTAGGAAGCCTCCTCCTACCGGAATTTGCTCTCCTCCTACCATTTATTATCGAC